TAACTCGGTAATATTGTTATAACTATGCAGTATTTTATAGCGGAGCAATAGACAAAACAATTGAAGTTTCCACAAAAATGATATGTTTCAGATTTAATCAATAAAAATTACATACAAAAAGGAGTAAGATTCAGATTCAACCAATCAAAAAACAAACTTAAAACATTATTTGTTTTTCTTTAGTGAAAATCTCATGATTGTTGCAACAGAAAAGCAAGGCACTTTTCATTTATAACTATGTCTACATAGAAATACTTCAATAAAATCTAATATATGATGTAATGCTGTATGATAGCCCGTTTTTAAACTAAAATTAAAAACAAAATCATCTTTCCCATGGATGGTGAATATTATTGAATGTCAAGTATGAGTACATTGTTGTAGAACTGTCAGACAATTCCAGAAAAGGCCCAATAGCCTTCCGCAGCAAGTAGCACTTATACCTGCCCGAAGGGCGGGCATTTCTGATAATTCTTCTATTAAAGCATCAACATTTTTGGCTTGAAGTAGTCGCATGCAAAGGCTTCTATTGACACATTGCAATTGGAAGCCCGAGCCGTATTGCTACTGTCAAGTTTGTAGGCCGGATTCTTTACAATAGGTGTCTGCGACTTACTGATGATTAATTTCAACAATAAACAAACAGTACCACAGTCCACTTGATTTAAAATAATATAGTAAAACAAGTGAAACGCATATATCAGTGTTCATTACACTGTTGATTATCACAGTTCCATCTAAAGCTTTAAGTAATTGTCTCTTTTTCGTCAAAGTCCACACAGTCTGGTTGAATTACTTTGGAACACAAATGACAAGACGAATTATTCTTCTCTGCTCTGTTATTACAATATAGTCTCTGATAATTCCACTTTTAAAATCGCCAATATATTCTCTTTATCGCTAAACTCACAATCACGCAGTCTAGATCTAAATAATAATCTTTCGGTGCGTCTTTATAACCCGACAGAATTCTAGAACATTCCACGCAATATAGATATTCTGATTCAATAATACTCAAAACACCGAAAAAAAATTCAGAAAGCTCTAGTAACATGACGCAACAATATAACAACCGTTAACTCATAATAAGTGAACGTACACGCTACACAATGTACGATTCGTAAACAATTACGTAAACAAACTTGCCATAAACTCTCGCTTCTAAAAATAATTAAATATAACACCCGCGATATATAAACTGTCCAAATCAAAATATTCGCAATAAACTTAAACTGTATATTTAACAGTTACACGTTGTTAAACTGTATATTTAACAGTTACACGTTGTTTTGAACACAGACTACCTTCGCTGTGTTACAGAAATAGGGTTATAAAGTGATTGTGGGTTTGAGATGTAAGCATTTTTGCAGGTTTTTACTTTGGTACAAGGAAGGAGCTGATAACTGTATTAATCCTAGATCCATTACCCGCTATAGGAGTAAGAATGTGGGTCGCGGGACTACACAGTGTACGATATATAAACTAGACCTTCGACACTTCTTACTGAACAGAATGAAGTGCCTAAGTGAAACTGATTGCAGTGCTATACGAATGTTTGTTTGTTTTTAGCCAGCAAGAGAAAACGATTGGCATATGATGACCAAGGTAGAGTACTAAGTAGCTGTGCTGCTTTAGTAGCTAATATAACCTTTGACATGCAATTAGAGTAGCTATCTTGTGTTGTACTATGCATATGTTTGGTGTTTTATATTACAAATTTGTGTTTAATCCATGAATACCTATACATGATATTATTATTTGTCTATATATATAGATGAGTACAACAACAATCGTTACTATATATTTTATGTACAATATAAACTACAATATTATGTTAAAGCTATATACTGAATGTGAAGCTTATGAGGTTGACACTATTGAGCTATATTCTTGTGGTGATGATATGCAAACTGGTTTACTTGAGCCTCAAACTGCTTCAAACACCGACAACTCCATTCTTCCTGGACCATCAGCATCGCGCTGCACTACATTGATCATGGAGTCATAACAGAATTGTCATGGTATTTCTGAACCATACATTGACATTGGCAGTTTATTGACATCAACAAAATCACTTGATGGAAAATGCCAAGCTATTAGTAATCTATCAATTACTGAAAAATACTCCTATGGCACCACTAAACTTTTTACTACCACCTTTTCTCATGGGTGTAACTACAAGTTTAAAATGGCTTGGCTTGAAAAATATCCATGGTTATTATACAGCCTTGAAACTGAATGACATTCTTTGCGGTCTTTGTGCTACCATTCTTTCAGTGCATAGTCGACGTGATAAAGTAGTACATTCCAATAAGTCATTTAACAGTTACACTCGGAATTATTTTCGTTCTAAAACAATACCAGAGTATCAGTTTATTCTAGTTTTTACGGTCAAAAATTATCAAATATTCTTATCTGTTAAAAGGAATAAGACTAGCTTTAAACAAAAATGCACCTTTCATATTTTATTAATATTTCAAACAACTCATTTCCATACAATAAAGCCTCCCGATGGCTTATCGGCAAATCTGAGGGCTTATAACTAAAAATTGGTTTCGACACTCGCGGTGGGCACAACACAAATAGCCCATTGTGTAACCTCGTGCTTAATAGCATACAAACAAACCGTATTTGAAGGACGTTTCTGTTATATGAATACGTTTCCGTGCAGTGTAAACATTCCCTCTATAACAAATATCTTTATAAATAACCAAACAATCACGGATATGTTCAGTGTGCCAGCTGTTCAACGAGGATTATGTTCCCTTACATAACATCCTTACATTGATAGCAGCACTTATTAATCATGATCATAAAAACTTGAGACACATTTTGTTCAAAACAATAAGAAACGTTGAGTCTTTGGATTAGACCAAATATACATACGTAAATAAATAATTACAATGACCTTTTAATAGATATTTTATAAATGTGTGTTTGCAATGCTGTGAAATTAAGGAAGAATATAATGTCTTTCCTAAGCTACAGATGGTCAGAGCGACAGATATTGTATATGTAATTACAAAGATATTGAATGATGTTGGATTATCTCTAAATGAATCGCATGGTGAAAGATATGATGGGGTATCCACCATGGCC